CCTTAAATATATGCCTACACGAAATAAGCCTCACTGCTGAGGATTTTTACTGTCTGATAAGTGACTAAGTCTGCTTATGCTAAAAAGGCATCAAAGAAAATATCTACGGAGCTGTGACCAGGCGTGGCCTGTAGCCAAGTGCCACCTCCAGCTCTGCAGGGAGTTCCAGCTTGCTGTTGTGCCTGCTTGGTTCAGGCAGGCAGGTTGTGTTGCACGTACCGCAGGCTGGAAAATATATAGGCTGCCCTTAGGTGTTGAAGAAGGGATAGGTGGACTCAGTAACGTTTGTTTTCTGATGGCTGAACATACTGTGCTGAGTTTGGGGGGCGGGGGGGAGCAGAACTGAGTGGTTAAACATTGGAACAGGCTGCCCAGGGAAGCGGTTGAGTCACCATCCCTGGGGGTATTTAAAAGACGTGTAGATGTGGCGCTCAGGGCCATGGTTTAGTGGGCATGGTGGTGTTGGGTCGACGGTTGGACTCGATGATCTTGGAGGTCTCTTCCAACCTGAATGATTCTATGATTCTATGAGAATTGCGCATCTTCAGTGCTAAAATGAACTGAATCGGATTGGGATCGCACGCTGGGTTTGGTTCTAACCCTGGTCTCTCTCCTTCAGTTACTTGGAGGAAGCGGTGATGCACCTGGACCACAGCGACCCCATCACCCGAGACCACATGGGGTCAGTCATGAACCAGGTGCGGCAGAAGCTCTTCCAGTTCATCCAGGTGGAACCCTGCAACACGCTGGGCAAGCCTGCCCGTCGCCTCATGATCATGCTCCAGGGCCTGGTCACCCCCGGCATGACCTAGGAGGACCTGGCTTATCTTGTGGGCTGCTCCATGGAAGCCCACCCAGCAGATCCAGTAGTTACTAACCACGTACGGCTTGCGTTAAGAGCTCTTGCCAGGAAACCTATCAACATGTGTGTGATGTCTCTAAGGCAAACGCCACCTGTGTATAGTCCCAAATAGTCACTGAACGCTCACTTGGCTTATTTTCCTAAATAGCCTCTTTTTGAGAGAATTAAGTCTCTTCTCCACCTGCCCATCCGTCCCTGAGGCCTGGCTGGCGGTCCAAGTCGCAGTCGGCAGAAGCCGGTGGATTTCTTACCCCTTTAGCTTGGAGCCTGCTTCCGTGAGCAGAGGAGGAGGGAGGCGCGCGCTGGGCCCCGAGCGAGGGGGCCGCCGGGGACGCGTGCTCCTTGGTGACCAGAAACTAGTACCCGTATCTTAGTCGAGGACTCAAACTCCTCCTCCCTGGCGGGGCGAGTAGCTGGGTGGCCATCA